GTGATAAAGGGCACAGACTACGCCAGGTACCCAGAGTCAACGCCAATAGCCAGGGTGCAAGGTGGAGGGGATTGACTGATTAGTTGGAGGCTGAGGGAGGTGGGAGTGGAGAGAATGACTTACTTAGAGAGATACCAAGAGAAAATTAAATGCTGTGAATGTATACAAACTGACATGGTCTGAGAGCAAGAAAAACCATCACATAGAGGTGATTTAGCTGTTAGGTCCTGAAAAATACAAAGGATTTGGATAAATACAAAGGATCACAGGAATAAACAAAATTGAAGATTTAACAAAACATAATAGATTTGAAAAGAACTGGAACCATACATCCAGAGTGGAAATTTTTGTCAAGTAAAGTAGTGGAAGACGAGGTAAGAAATATGTTTTTCAAGGGGGAACAATAAAAGATGAGGTGGAAATTATTTCGTAAAAAATATATTTGCCTTTCTAAGAAGGTTAGAACAAAGTGTTTATAGAGGAGAGCAACATTGTATGCCATTTTTTAGTTTAATAAACCCACAGGAAAATAATACTTAGCGCTAAAGACTACTAGAAATATTCAGACTAGGAGTAATCTGGGTGTGTACAAAGAACTACAAATGATGAAGAAAAAGAAAAACTTAATAGAAAATTAAGGTGAAAGACAAAATCATGCAAAAATAAGATGTCTAACACTATCAAGGGTTAAAGGATGGAACATTACTTAGGACTTAGGAATTCTACTCCTAGTTATGTTTGCTAGAGCAGTGCTTTTTCAAATTGAGGACAATTCAGCTGGTAGATCATGGAATCAACTAATTGGGGGCATTATCAGAATTTTTTAAATGAAAAAGAATAGAAAATATCAGAGTGCATGTCTATACCTAAAGTTTAATAAGGGTAAATATTGTCCCATGGAACCACTGTTTCTGGTGTGTGTGTCTGTGTGTGAACGTGTGAGTGCATGTGTGTGTATACATACATACTCAGTCATAACAAATTTCATACTATGGATCAGTTATAAGAAGTTTGGAAATCACAGCTCTATTGAAACCTTTGTCTTTGAGCACCTGAGTTATTCACATCAGTAAAAATGAATGAACTGAAGATACATACTTACAATAAGAAAGAACTTGGAAACAAAAGGTTTGATGGAGAAAAAAATAAGTAAAAGAATAGCCCACACATAATAATGTCATTCTTATAAAATTTTTAAAAGGCAAAATTAGATAATATATTACTTAAGAATACATTTTTAAACTTTTTTTAAAGACGGGAATTATAAACACAAAATTCAAAATAATGACTACTTTTGGGGTAAGGAGGGATGAGGTTAGATGGGGAAGACCACATAGCATGTTCTTAAATAGGGTAGCATAGTTAGAATTCTTCTTTTATAATATTTCATAGCACATATGTTATGCAAATTATTTTAGGTATAATTAATTCTTCATTTTAAAAGTTATATTTAAATAAAAACATGAAGTGATTGGGGCCTGAACTAGTATGCTAGCAGTACGAATGAGAAGAAAAGGATGAACAGGATAATGATAGAGCTATAACAAAAAAAATTCACTTGAGCATTTACTTCTACTTTCTATGATTTCAAGTAACTCTTAGCTTGAACAATATGCCATATATATGTATGTGTGTGTGCGTGTATCTACACACATACCCGTTTATGTATTTATATAAATATAAATAAAAAACCACATTTGCCCTTTCTTTCTAGCTTAGATATTGATGGTTGAAAAAAGTTTTTAAAATTGCCTGACCTTTGCAGCTAATAATTCCTATAAATCAGGATTCAAACTCAGGACTATCCTATCTCCGAAGTCCATGGTCTTTCATTACTTACACAATGGATTGATAACCGGATATAAATATTTAGTCATAAATGTTTAAAAGCACTTGAGATATTATTACCTAGCCCAACTCCTTTATTTTTTAGATAGGGAACTCAAAAAGACAAGTCCTAAATACCCTATGACTTTCTAAGGCAACAGTTCTCAAACTTTTTGGTCTCAGGACCAAATAAGAAGAAGAATGCTATTATTGTACATTTTTTCAAATCTCTTTAATGTCTGGCTTCATAGAAGACAGTTGCTTTCTTGTATTTCCTTTTCTTTTCAATATGTGTTGTTTTCTTACATTTGCTTTTCTTTTCAATATGTCGCATATATTGATTTGGTTGAAGTACATGAAGAAAATCCACCCTCATGTACAAGGGCTGTCTGGAAAGTATCCAGTCACGGATACAATGGATACATGGATACAAAAACTGGATACTTTCCAGACAGCCCTTGTAGATATGCAGTAGGAAAGGAGGAACTCACAGACTCATGATGGCCCCCTTCATGGGCTCCTAAGGTCTTCAGGCTACACTTTAACAACTATTACTCTAAAGGTTATATTCCTCTAGCCATCCTTCGTAAGGCCTGAAAAAACTAAGGTGAACTGACATATGCTCATTAGAAAATCTAAAAAATGTTCTTTAAACTCAGCACTTCCCTAACCTAGCATCTCCCCCAGATATCTCTGAAATCTACTTCAAATGTATATGAGGCCCAAATTCAACCCTATTTTTCTCATAATCTTTTGTAAAGGGAAAAATGGTATTAGCAGAAAATCAGTCCAGATTGCAGCAGCCCACTGCGTTAGATAGCAGAATAGCTGGGCATCAGCACAAACCAAAGCAAGTTAGACAAGGAGTGGTAAACAGTTTCTATAAAGGGCCAAAAGTAAATATTTTAGGCTTTGGGGGCCATGTAGTTGCCAGAGCAAGTACTCAACTTTATCTTGTAGTGTGAAAGTAGTCATATACAATATATAAATGAATAGGAGAGGCTATGTTCCCTTAAAATTTTATTTAGAGAAACAAATCAAGCCAGATTTGGCCCTTAGACCATGGTTAGCTAAACCGTGCTTTAGACTAAACTGATCAGCCTCAAAAATATACTGACTAAAACAAAGCCATTTTATAAAATCAGATCTTTCTCTTATTTACCACTGGATTTTACTCAAACATATATTCATAGGGTGGTTCCTCCAACCTAAACTATCCTGATAAGCCCTTACAACAGAAGCACACCTTCTGCTCACTGACTAAAGAGAAGGCAGAATAAATAATTCTTAGCTATGTTCAAATACCTAAAAAAAAAAAAAAAGCTACTCAAACACCTAAAAATATGTAATTAGGAAATGGCAATACATTCTTAGAGAATAGCAAAATATTCTAGAATAATCACTTTGATAGTCAGTAAAACACTTAAATATGTCTAAATTTGTCATTTTTGTCCTTTATTCCTTCTAGTCAATTCATAATTATACAAATAATCATATAATTATATAATATTCCTTCTGAATAAGAAAAGAGTTCTTTTTTTTAATTTTTTTCTTAGGTGCTGGCCCTCTGTAT